CGCAAGAGCTTCCAGGGCTACACCCTTCTTCCCCGCGTGCGGAAATATTGGCAACTGTGCCAGCTCTGAAACACTCTTGTGGTAACATCCGTATTGGTAGTGATTGTGCTTGTGTTGTTAAAACTTTTTCGTGGCTTGCGACAAACAACTGGGAACCTTCGTTACTTGCTTCTGTTGACAACGCCGACCTTTTCAAGCTCGTCATCGAGTTGATGGGTGACCGTGTGAATTATACGGTATGTTGTTTCAAAGCTAAAGCTCATATATGGGGCACATCATCCGTTCAACCGCAACGATGGACGGATCTCACAAACAAAGCTGATTTGCTTGCTAAATCTGCGGCTCGTGACTTGCATGGTAAACGACTTGATCTGCTTTTGTCTGAGATCCGCGATGCCGTTGATTTGCAAACTCATCTGGTTTCCACACTGCCATGAATGTACCAACCATCCTATTACGAGCGATGTAGTGCCCCATGGGTTTCAATCCAGCTGCGCATTGAGGATTTGTAGTGGGCTAACATCCCCTATAGGCGGCATCGGTGTTTTCAACCCTTCTTCAATTTTGGAATGTGTGCAAAGGGGTCTTCCTGTTCCAAGAGTGTTGCAGGACCAAGTTTGTCAAACATATCCTCGATGGGCTGCAGCTTTGGGGCAGGCTTACACGCATTTTTATCGTGACATCCTGATTGAAAACATCGATTGGGGTTCTACGCCCAAAAATATCCCGGCTATGACGGCCATCATTGATTTCATTAGGGATGGGGAGTGGCATGTACCGAATGTCGGTGATGATAGCAGGATGTCGTGGATTGAACCAGTAACTGAATTTGTGACCAAGCATGGCTTTATTGGGGGATTCTTGACTCCGGGAATGCCAATGTCGTGGCTTACCCGTAAAATGAAAACGTATGTCACCAAGGCTATGCAATCCTGCGGCGTAGACCTAGTCACGGTCTCCAAGGGTAAGATTCACGGAGAATTCTTAGGCGGGGACGTTGCTGGGTTTGTGGGCGGAAAAGGACGCATCGGCCCGAACTTTTGTCGGCTCTTTTTCTCAAGGATCAATCTAGATACGTCTTGAATGGTTCCAGACAAGCTAATGCCCACTGGGTTCGTAATTTCAGCGCCCTTTCCCCATGAATTTCCTACAGTGGCAGTCTGCATTGCTCATCTTAGTTCAGTAACAGCTCTGACGTTCGCGAGGCGGAAGAGCGAGTGTTGTTAAAATTACGGTGCCGAAGTTCATCACCCTAACCCAGAAAAGATGTAGACTCAACCCTTTTCCGCCCGTGACTCCGAGGCACTTGCCGTGCCGACATTTTCGTCGCCACTCCTGTCCCTCTGACGTTCTCCTCGGAAGCTGGTCTCCGAGTTTGGGATCTGAGGTTTGGGACTTAAATGGTTTGGATTAAGGCTCCGGGCTGAACATGTTTGTTGCACGGGGCTTACGGCTAAGGGTTCAGATTTCAGGGCACTTTGCAAGTTTAGGGTTATTTAGGCTCTTTGGGTTAAAGTTTTGGATCAGGCCAGTTTTTTCACACCGTTGGTGTGTGGGGTTGCTGCATTGCTAGATTCTTAAGCCAACAAATTCTCTTCGTTCGAGTCTCTTGGTCCAGAAAATACCGCAACAATGTTGCCGAGTGCGCTCACTCCCAGATAATTTTGCATGGATTCCTTTAGAGTCCTGCCTGTTGTTTTCTGCCAGCACCCACAGAATGAAGCAGAGTATCTAAGACTCCAAGAGGAATGTTTCGTGTTTGCACTTTCGGGGTTCAGGACTTGGGCCTACAAGGTTTGTGCTCGTCTCGCAGGGTTTTAAGAGTTCTGGTTTGAGGCGCTTGGACAAGAACTGTGAGCCAAGGAAAACCAGGGGCGGTGCCTCAACTTGAACCACGAGGAGTCGAGCCCGTCGTAAGCGGCCATGAGCTCTGAGTTCTGACATCGAAGCCTCTGAAATCCTGAACCCTCAACTTGATGGCCCCTTAGGCCCCTTAAAAAAATCCTTAACCTTCTAAACTGTAAACAGAATGCAGCGCAAACCCTCGAAAACGGTCAAACCCCCAAAAACCCTGAGGTCTGCCGTCACTTGATTGGGGCAGGATACATGCCTGTGCTGTTGGAAAGAAACTCCAGCTTGGAATTAGGGTGGTCTGTGGGTCCGACCCTACGAGTGGCCCAGGGCGGCCTGGGTGTACACTTTCCCGCGAGTGCTGCGAGGAGCCTCGGGTGGAGTCCGTGAAGAGCGACGTGCAGTGGCACTGTGAAACCAGCACCGCAGTGAAAGTCAAAGCCGGCTTATTGATTGGGGCTGAGGGCTTTTGAGAGGGATCTTGGAGGACATCGAAGTGTCGCATCCAACTTGAAGAAGCCGAACTTCTCAAAGATGCGTCCAACAGGTCACGCAAAGTACGGTAAACACGGTGACTACGCCTCTAGGGCTGACGCCCTCGACCCACGAATTCCTGGAACTTCCCATGAGAAATCGCACAAACTCCTAAAGCTCAAAACCCCTAAAGCTCGAACGAATCCTAAACCTTAAACGTAAGCACCAAGGCAGGCAGTGCTTCGGATACAACATTACGGGCGACTCCAAATCAGGACCATCAGGACCTGGCTCAGTTTTTCTAGAGCCGGTGGCCAGGACGACTTGGCACCCTTCTTCTTTTTGTGGCTCAAGGTTTGGTTCGGCACCCGAATCTTAAAGCCCGAAACCGTGCAAGTCCGAACCCAGGTGAAAGGGTTGGGCAGCGATGGCAACTGCCATGTGAAGGCAACCCGGCACACTTCAGGGGGGAAGGTAAGGGTTTAACCGGTTTAGGGTCGATTCGCAAAGTTGGAGTCTTGGAGTTGAGCATGCTGCGTTTAGGGAACATGGCGCAATGCGGCACGGCTCTGCCGTATCATTCAAAGAACTGAAACCAAGCCACCCCCCGCTCTTTGTGCGTTGGTGTTTTGTAGTCAGCGATGTTTCGCTAGGTTGATTTGATTGCATTATGCCGCTCCGCAATGCACTGGTGCTCAAACCTAGGGAAACACGCAGCTGAAAGGGGTTTGCAGCCCAGACTTTCTCTTCCAAGCGCAGCGCTTCCTTGAAAAAACCACAGCACGAGAGTTTCTTCGCAGCCGTTTGTGCTTTGTGCCCAGCATGGCTGTAGGACTTGGCACCCGCTCCTCCGGACTCGCCGCGCACTGCACTGCTTGTCAAGGCCATTCAAGAGCTTGCCGAAGACACGTTAGAGTGCTCTGCACAGCTGCACCTCCGCATTGACAAGCGTTCGGGCGCAAAACCTTTTGGGGGCATGTTTGGTTTCTGGAGTGACGCATCGCAGAGTAGCAAGAAGCACCGCTTGGCTCCGCCTTCGCCGCCGAGCATTGCTCGCCCCAGCACCGGGCCACGTTGTGGAGGCCCTGATCAGCTTGCAGAGAAACATGCAACGGTGAGCTCATCTTCAGGGAGCTATGTGGACTCTTGCTTCCGGCCCACACCGCTTGCGCATGCTTGTACAGTGAGCTTTCTCTCATGGACACACAGGCACAGCATCGCAATGCGAAACACATGGGCGCACTGGCTCCCCTCCAGGTTTTGGGACCTTATTGAAACTGACCGTCGAATTAAGCATTGCTAACATGCCACACGAAACACCGCATTCTTTTGTTTCTGGGCGCCGCCCTGCCAGCACATGGACACGCCCCGCACTGCTGCATCGCTTTGGCTGGCCAACGGCTTGAGACGCCGCGCCGTGCTGCGTTTTTTTTGCTACACTTAGTACGGATCGAACTCCTTGGTAAGTCGCCTAGCACAGGCACAGGATAGCTTTTCGCTCCACAACTGCCTGGTTGGCATTGCACCGGGAGTCTTCTGCAGACTTATAGACACCCCAGCCAGAGCCGTCGCATTCAGATTATCAGCCCCTGGCGCACTGCACGGGTTAAACTTCTGCAACGTTTTTTTTCGCTGTCGTCTGTTATGGAGCCGGGTTGCAGTGGGTTGCAAATGTTGCAATGCTGCAAATGGTGGCAGCGCTGCTCTCTTCCACATGGTTGGTACCGCCGGAGCAAGACGCAGAGCCCGACGCAAGGCCTCGCACTGCTTTGGTGCATGTCGCAACGGATCTTCGATCATGGTTTGCACTGGTTGCCCTGCTGAAGCACTATGACATTCGATGTCTTCGCATCGCCTGTGGGACAACTCTACATCATCAGACAAGCGCTGCGCAGCCCCGACCAAATTGTATGATTATACAAGGCTGCCCTGCTTTGCTTTGGAGACGAGGCCACGCAGTTATGCTCGGCTTCGGGCACCGCGATGCCAGGCAATGCCTCGTGGCCCCATGTTTGCGGACACCATGCTTTCTCATGGCCAGGCATTGGCTTCCCTCGATATTCTCCTGTTTTGCCTTGCTCACAAATTCCTGGCATCCTCTTCGGCCCTGTCAATGCTGCGCTGCTTCATGGGCAAGGTCGCACAGCCTCGCTCCTTTTCGGTTTGGTTTCGCTTGAAACTGTGTGCAGGTCGCGTAGCCCTGCCTCCCTCTTGTTTGTTTCGGCCACTTGCTTGTGCCCTGCGCTGCTTCAGGTACCAATCTTCCTGGACTCCGCGGCCTATCTCTCGCGTGCACCGCAAGGACCGGAGCAGTGTTGCAGGTCTCCCAGCACTGCACGCAATCAGGCGTTTCGCCCTTCGCTCGGGCCACTTGCTTACCTGATGGTGCTGCCCAGAAACAGATATGGTCCAGCAAGGGAGATGCTGGCACCAAATTCTGCCTCCTCTGTGCCAAGGTCCATGCAAGAGCAGCCAAGGTCCGGGCCACGAGGATGTTCTTGAGCATGGCGCTACGGAGCACGATCAGCTCATCTTGACGACGGGTGTATCGTAAAAAATCCCATCGTGCTGAACCAAGCCCTTTTGGCCAAAGGCCTCGGGAGACTCTGATTTTCTTCCACCTTTGCGAAACACCTTGGCATTCTCCACTTGAGCCCTTCTCCGGGCCGCCTGAGTCAAGAGGACTTGAAGTTCCTCTTCTCGAGGTCCCCATCATCATCGTCGCCATCCTCGCCCACCGCCCGGCTCTTCCGCGGTCGTGGCGTGCACCTTGGCGGCAGACTTGCTCCGCTGGCGGTTCGCGTTTCCGCCACCGCTCGGCTGAGCGCCATGTGCTTCTTCATTACGATGTACCTGAGGGGCGATGGCCATCACGGCGGCTCGAAGCTTGTTATAGTCATACTCACCTCCAGCAGCTGCAACCACACTTGTCTTCTCAGTTCAGAAGACAATCCAGCCTGTTCGAGAAACAAAAAAGCTTCTCGGTAACGCCAGAGATCCCAGCATTGATCTCCTAGTCTCTGAGCATGTCTTCTAGACTCCATATCGTAGTTGACAAACTCTTGGCCTGTGCTCCGTCGGAAAGACTCATAGAAGTCTGCCAAAGTCTGAAAAGTCCGAACAAACTCCAACAGCTCCAGCTCTCGCCAAAGGTGGTCTAGCAAACGGCTCACACCATCCGGACGCTTAAGCGACTCCAGCTGCAAGGACTCAGCCGCCAGCCAAGCATTCCCGGTGAGCTTCTCCATCAACTTCTGAGCGCGAAACGTCGGGTCAATGCCGGTACTCAGTTCAAACAGCTTAACTCGCCTCTGATATTCCCGTATTGGCCCCGACCCAGCATACTCCGGGATGAAGTCTTTCCCACTAGACTTCGCAGACGCCTTCGTAGAAGATCCGCGGTCATCATTTAAGGAGGCTGTTACCTCCGCCGTTGCCCACGGGTCCTCTTCTGCTGTAGAAGCTGACTGCCGTCTTGAGAAATGAACACTGCTCCCAACTGGAACCTCGCTGCCTCCAATCCCGCTTGATTCTTGTTGAACAGGCTTGCGCTGCTCACCCGAATCTTTCCCCCAAGCGGTGTCCTGCCATGTGCTACTGCTCCAGTGTGACGTCCGCTGAGGCTGCCAGGATCCTTGCTGGTATGATCCCCAACCATGATAAAAAATCCCATCTCGCCGGCTGCCGGCGCCAGCTCCAGGGCTCTGTTGCTGTTGCTGATCATCATTGCCTAAACACCCTGATTTTCAGCCCCATTCGCATCCGCCATCGAAGCTGCAAGGCTGCTGCCCTGCTCCGCGCAACCAATGCAGAATCTGAAATGCAACTCAGCGGCACAAAACCATTGCAAAGCGAGGCCGCGCTTCTTGTGCTAGCACACTCCAGGAGCCACTGCGGCTTCGACGCACGAGCGAGCTGCTCTCGAAAGTTCAAGCGTGACTCGGCTGCCGCACTGTCAGGTCAAATTGGAGTTAGCAAACTAGCGCTAACTCGTTTTCTCGGCATGGTTTCTATACACATATACGCTGTAAAAGCATCGCTGCGAAGCGGCCAACCATCGGCAACATAAAACATGGAAAACCGCTGCCTCCAGTGTAGTAGCAATCGCCATAAGGATGACAATACCAAAATAGCTGTAAGCATACCTGCGTAGGTTTGGTGGCAATGTAAGTACAACAGCACAGCACGCGACAAGTCAGCCAAGATTGCAGCTTCTGCTAGGTGGCATGCTGGGGCACTTAGGTTCCAGCTTGGAGAGAGGGCCGGTGTTCCTGCATCACCACGAGAGGCACCACCACAGGGGGGGGGAGACAGCGAAGCCAAGAGACCAGGAGCCCAAGCAAGACCGCAGACACCACACCACAGGGGGGGAGGGGGAGGGCTCCGGCCCGGCATCATAGATATAAACATCTTTATATATATATATATATATAGAGAGAGAGAGAGAGAGAGAGAGAGAGAGAGAGAGAGAGAGAGAGAGAGAGAGAGAGAGAGAGAGAGAGAGAGAGAGGCAGGCTTCGCAGTCAATATAGATCACAAACGTAAATTTACCAGCCATGAAGGCATGAGATGATATTCTGGATGAGCGGCTAGCCAAGACCGGCGATGTAAGACCCGCATACCCAAACTTCCAGTCAAGCTCAAGTGAGGCATCTTTTTCTCAGCGTGCTGTATAGCTGGTGTGGGATGAGCACAGTGACCTCTTGGTCTGAGGCCTTGCTGTACAGAAGTGGGTACTGGATGGACTGGATGGGAACGAAGTTTGAAGGAAGCCTTGCTCGTTGGTGATGGAGCATCTCGCAGAGTGGGATGCTTTGTCCACCGTGAGTTTCCAACATTGGAGAAGTGTGACCTTCTGGGCACCCAATTCCAGATGGAACCAGGCTTGGCCGAGTTCGCAACGTCCGTCTTGCCGGTGGGAGACCGCCGCGAGAGAATGGTGCCGCCTTTGGCGAGCTTGGCGCTGGAAGCAAACACGGCTTCATTTGCTGGGCCATCACGACGTGGCGGAGGAGCTGGAGCTGCTTGGGGCAAGTGTCCAGAAACAGACCTGGCTCCCTGAAAGTAGCGATCTCCATGGCCACGACCTGGTCCATCAAGTGGCATACAAAAGCACCGGCTTTCCATGAGCGGAAATGGTCTTGTGCTTCCGCTCTCTGGTAAATGCCGATGGCAAGTTCTCATGCTTCTGGAGGAAGCCTTCTTCATGAGTGGCACTTCGAACTGGGCCGATTGGAGGCACTCCATGGCACTGTATGCAGCCTCCAAAACCATGGTCTTGTTGGCTCCAAATGTGGTGTCTTGGTGCACCATGTCCAGGAGGTTGGCTTAGCCAGGAAAGCTTGGCATGCCTTTGGGCAGGTTGCAGCTGGCCCCATGATGGCGCATAGAAAATGGCGCACAGCTGGAAACATGCCTAGCAAGTCCAAGTCCGAAGCCTGGCTGCTGGACTTCTTGCAAATAAGCTGTGCAAGTGGCCTGCCTCCCAGGCGCCAGCAAACGCTCCATGCTGGACCATACATCGAGGCCTTGGGCGGCAATGGAATGCTGTGCATCCAGTCATGGCAAGATTGGGACACTGGTCGGACCAGGCATCGCTGAGTTGAAGAAGAAGGTGCCGTGTTCGGCTTGCAAGGCCAATGGCGCAGTCTAGCAAGCCGGTGATGGCTGTCGTGGAGGAGGAACTCTCTGACTCTGATGAGGACTATGGCCCAGGTCCTGCCACGATTTTCACGTCCGTGCAGCCCGAGGAGTACTGGCGCGCGAGTGCGGTGCTGTGTGCAGAGTCCCAAGCTTCGGGGGATTCGGAGTGCCTACTTGCGTTATCCGACACATGCTGTGCAAGGTCTGTGGCAGGAGAGGCTTGGGCAAGCTCACATATGGCACATTTGCGTCAGGCTGGCTTGGACGTGTAGTACATTCATTGTGGACGAGGCCAGGCCTTTTAAATTCGGTGCTGGTCCAAGGATTATGTCCAAGTACAGCATCTTGTTTCCCTTGAACCTTCTTGGCGCTTCGATGATTCTGTGGTTGCAGGTGAGTGTGGTCGAACAAGATGTTCCACTGCTGTTGGTCAAGAGTGCGCTTAAGGGATTGGGCGCATGCATCGACCTCGGTGCGGCCAAGGTGGGTTTCTCGTAGTTGAGTACAAGGTTGGATCTTGTGGGAACCGCAGCCGGACTATGCGGGTTTGTCATCAATAAAGACAAGAATGATGAGGTCCCTCAGCCTGAGTTCCCTCCAAACAGATGACCGAAGGCGAGATGGAGGTCCCAGGAGAACATGATGAAGATCCTGGTTATGCGGGCGAAGAGGTGGTGATGTGTCCCCTAAGGTTCACAAGGAGATCGGGCAACCGGCCGGAAGAGCTGCCTCTTCAACTGTTGGAAATCCGAGATTCCACGTTTGAGAGCCTCGAGTGTCTTGTTGAGGGATTGCCAAGCCTGAAGCCGGAGAAGCAGAGGGAGATCAATCGTCATGACAAGCGAAAGATGCAAGGGCTTATGGCGGGCTTGCGCCCAGAACCGTGTTCGGAAAATCACCCATCCTGCAGGACAACTTGTGTTCTTCCGGGATCCAATGCTTGGGTTGCTGTAGGCGGTAGGTGCTTTCTTGTTGCCGGGGAACACCTTATTAGAGAGGCTTGCGGGAATGAGAGGCATTTCGGAGATCCTCAAATTCAGAAGGCTATTGTGCTTGTTAAGAACGTTCCACAAGAAACCCACTGAAGAGCCTATGGAAGTCGAGAGCCAGCCTATCACGCCAGAGGTCTTTTCAGGGGTTGGGAATCTTGAACAAGGGGTTCAGGATCTCGCCGTTGGTGCCAAAGGTCGGGACTAGACTCACTAGACAAGCCTGGGCCTTCCGGACTCCCGAAACCAAGTATGAACTTCATAGGTTCGCACTAGTTGTTTGATCTTGATAACCCAAGCGGATACCTGCCTCAGACTCCTGCCGAAGTGTTGATCACTGTGTTTCAAGGTCGACCCAAACGAGAGATGTGCCTTGAGGATGTTCCACTTGCGATCGAGAAGAGTCGTAAGGTTGAACAAGCGAATACCGTCACATTTGGCAAAACCGTTGGGAAGAACAAACTGAAGCGGATGATGGACAAAAAAAACCCTACGAAAGATTCCCGTTCATGAGAGAGACCTCTATCATCAGGCCCAGGAGAAAGAGTGGAACAGCTGGAGAGAGTTCGAGAGTTGTGAGGTGTTGAGTGAAGAGGAGAGTGCGAGAGTGTTGAAAGATTTCCCAAACGAGTCCTTCCTAGTCGTTATGTCTATAGGAATAAGAATGCCGGGAAGAGGGGAATCCTCTTCCAACACGCGCGAAAGCGCGGCTTCGTCTTCAAGGCCACTTGTGTCCCGATGCACAGACGGGGCAAGTTCAGGTCGATTGAATACCGACAGTCGAGCGGGCTTCGACAATGTTGTTCCTTCATGTGGCTGCAAGCTTCGGTTGGATGCAGAACTGGTTTATCGGGAACATTAGCAATGCGTTTCTTCAGGGATATTGAGACCACCGAAGCAAGGGCTGAAGGGAGTCAAGCCTACTCAGCTCTTCAAGCTTTTGAAACCTGTTTACGGGAGACCCAACTCAAATCGAGCTTGGTACGAGGAGCTGGCTAGAGTGTTGACCGATGAGTTGGGGTTCCTCAAGTCATACATTGATCCTGCGGTGTTTTTGCTGAGAAACGAACAGGGTATCTTATGCGGGCTGGTCCATGTGGATGATCTTGTGGTCTGTCATGATGGGTCAGAGTTCGCTCAGCAAACCGTGGACAAGCTGGCTGGGTGGTTTCCTTGTGGCACTTGGGACAGAGTCTCTGAGAAGTCCAGTGGGGTTACCTATTGTGGGAAAGAGATCAAGCTACGCAACATTGACAGTGAAGATGGCGTCATCCTTTCAAAGGATGGTTTCATAGATGGACGTCTCGAGGAGACGGAAGTGTCTAAGGACCGAAGGCAAGCTCCAGAACTGCCAGCCACAGAGGAGGAGCGAGAGAACTATCGTTCCATTGTGGGCGGTCTGCAGTGGATCGCGACGCAGTCTCAGTCTCGTCCTGATTTAAGTTTCGAGACTAATCAACTTCAGAAGCGGGTTGCTGATCTTCGCGTCGCTGATCTTGTGCGGGCGAACAAAGCAGTTCGGGAAGCCAAGAAACATCGCATGGAGATCGTCTTTCGCAACTTAGGCAAAGATGCTCAGCTCATCATTTACTCGGATGCCGGGTTGTGCTCCAGTGTAGGGGTTGAAGTTGAAGAGAAACAAGCTGACGATATTCTGCAGTCATCTTTAGACAAACGGCTTGTGTTCTCTCAGAAGGGGGCCGTTGTCGGCGTCGTTAAACGAGGGTCGACGGAGGTCTGTAGCAAGCCGGCTCATATGAACATATTGCACTGGCGAAGCAGTACGAACAAGAGAGTCATCGAGTCGAGCCGCTCAGATGGATTGGGCATGGGTCACTTCAGCCAGGTCTTGATGAGTGAGTTTCAGACTTGGTTCTGATGTTGTTGGTAGCATTGATGATGACGGATGGAATGATTTGACACCGATGACGTCGGTTACTGATTGTAAGTCCATTTATGAGACGGTTCATAAGGACGGTCAGCATATCAGTGATAAAACTAGAGTCATTCATGCGGTGCTCCTTCGTCAGATGCTCAGCACGTGAGACACGCCGAAGACACGTCTTCTCTTGTTTCCGATTCGTCATCATATTGCCGATGGATTGACTCAGAGTGGTCGTGGAAAGGAACTTAGAGAGCAAGTCTGGTGTGGCGTGATTTTCCGCGAGGAGGCTGTGAAACGCGGACAGCTGTCAGGTCAAACAAGAGTTTTGTATCAGTGTGAATTTAGATGAAAGCATTTGACCTGACAGTGCGGCAGCCGAATCATGCTTGAACGTTTGAGAGCAGCTCGCTCGTGCATCGAAGCCGCGGAGCCACTGGAGTGTGCTAGCAAAAGAAGCGCGGCCTCGCTTTGCAATGGTTTTGTGCCGCTGAATTGCATGTCAGTTTCTGCAGATTGGACAGTCAGGACGCCGAACGCCGCCAGCCTCTTTCATGCCAACAGTCTTGGCATGCACTTCGCGTGTTTGTGTGCAGAGTGAAATGTCCCTCCTTTCCCTTTTTCATCGGTGAGAAAAAGGGGCCATGGAGGAGCCAGCCACGCAGAGCAGAAGGGAGCGGGAGAAATGGAAGGAGGAGAAAGGAAGGAAGTACAGGACGAGAACACAACATGACAAAATGACAAAGGAAGAAAGAATTTGAAGATATGCCAAGGGAAAACGGGGAAGAAGGAAAAGTGATAAGCTGGGGCCGAAGACAGTTTCCTCTTTGCTTGCTTTAGTGTTCTCTTTTCTTTTGTCATCAGTTTCAAAGGCGTGGAAAGGCGAGGGGTAGGGCAAAGAAAGAGAAGAGGGTATATAGGGGTTAATTCCTCGACATGAAACCTCTTTTCGCGTCGTGGCCCGGCGCAGGATATCAGCACTTGGTCCCCGGACGAGCAATCCAAGCCGCTAGCGCTCGATGTCAAAGGGCTCCGCAGCACCCTGGATCCCCAGTGGTGCGCGGTATAGGGCGTAGAGCATACGGTTGTAAGCTGTAAGGATGTTGTTGCTTTTCCTGAGTATGATGTTTAGGCCGTGTGGGTTTAAGGGTTCAAGGGTCGAATGGGTTTAGGGCTTAGGCATGTAGATAGGGTCTGAAGATTTGGGTTTTCCCTTGCTTCAAGGGAGGAAAAAAGCACCCAGGTTCCGAGCACCCAGGTTCCGACACCGAAGCGGACCAAAGCTTGAAAAGCGCGTACAGCTGGACCAGCGCAATACGGGTGCGCAGCACAGCGGGGACCTCAGAGGTGCGAAAAACATTTTGGCATGCAGTAATCAAGCCGAAAAGCCGCTTAGCTTATAGCCCATTCGGCTATATCCCCAAGCAGTAGAGCCCTTATTCCAAGTTTTGTAATTGTGCTCTCCGTAGGAGACCCAAAGTTCTGAAGGGCGAACTCCCTTCAAAAAGAGTCTTGGGCTTAGGGTTCAGCCTGGGTTTAGATTTCATTTAGGTGGCCCTTAACCACACCCTTGAACCTGAACCCACTACAGGACACACACGCAACTTTGTTCACCTGCCTGCCCAACGCCATCGCGCCTGAAGCACCGGCGTCCGCCCCTCTCTCCGTCCTGTGCGCCTCTGATGTGGCCGTGAAGTTGAGTGACTAGGATCTTTAGTGGAGGGATCAGGAAGTTCAGGGTTGAGCTTGTCAATGCCATGAAGTCCGACCATGCAAAACCCGGTTCCCTGAACCTAGGTGATTTGACCACGGCAACGGGGTTCTACACAGGAAGCATCGGCCGAGAGGCTTTGGATCTTGAGATCGAATCCCCCAACCCTTAGCCGCTCTAGATATATACATACGCTTGTGCAGTATATGTATGTATGCATGTGTACATATGCGTACATACATGTATATATATATATATACACATACATATACATATACAAATATACGCATCATACGTATATATATATATATACATATGTAAGGGCTACGGCCTCCCCCATGTGCCCACGTTTTGCGTGCGTGAAGGAGGAGCGAACCACAGTCATGATTCAAACGTGCGATCAATGTGGGGTGTCTTTAATGACACAACGACAGTGGCTGTTTAAGGCTACATATGTTGGACCCTGGTGTGGTTTCCAGCATGTGCTTGGGACAGGGGGATACATTAAACGAGTAGGCTGCACACATGTGTAGTTTTAATCGTGGGCCAAAAAAATTTCAAACTAGAAGTACTTTTGGTATTGGACCGAAAAAGTTTAATTAGAAACTCAAGGCAAAACAACAATAGCTACGTAGAATTGGCAGAAATTCGGTTAACCCCAGTATTTCTAGGAGGTTAGAATGTAATTGGCGTGATATTGATGCTTGGGTTGGCATGTCCTTACAACGTTAATTTTGTTTTACGGTATTGGCGTTGCGGACAAGCATGTGTTTGAATGGACGGTGAACCACATCTCACGGAGTAGTAGGACAAGCTATCGTAAAACCGGCGTTCGGTTCTCCAGCGAATACCAAATACCAAACGAATGAATTGGGCGCATGAAAATGGTGTCTGCCGAAACCATCGCCATTTACGAGGAATCGGGGTTGGCTTTAAGTAGTTATGTGGCGAAAAAGAACCAGATCTGATGCAATCATGTGTGTGTGTGTGTGTGTGCGTTCACGTGCCACGGCAGTACCCCTTCGATGCGAGTGACAACAACGTTCATACAAGCATGACATGGGTTGTCAGCATTGTGTTTGAATCAGTCCCTTGTAGAAGGGCCCTTGTAGAAGGCCGACGCAATTCGGCATTAGGAGCTACGATGATGGGAGCAACATCAACAGCAATAACGACAAACCTGTGATCGCCATTCGCATAGTCATCGTTCCGCCGAATAAAGCGAGTCGGATGTCCACATGTTGCAACTAAAGCAGAAAGACTACAAGGGCCACAGATTTGCAAACGAGGGTCCATTGAACCAAATTTCGGGGTGGTTTTTCTACCTGTATCGAAATAAGCAAGTATGATTGCATGCGGTCCAAGCATGTGTCTGCAGATGCAAAAACCTGCGCTCGTTATTCACGTCAGCTCGAAGTTTATTAGGTTTTGCTATGACGAGAATATATTAGCTAATAGTACGTGTTCATGAGTAGTTCAATATGGTATGTTTGACGAAAAACTCCGAAATCTGAATTCGATAATACGCGAAAAATACCTCTAGCACAAGCATAAACACATGTATCGTCAAGGTTACTTTATTGTAGGGGATAGTAACATAGCATACGACCACCAGTTGGGTGAGAGATGAATAGTTCACGGTTATATACAAGCCAGAACTACCCGGCATCGTCTAGAAGTACCAGCTCATGTAAAGCATGTCGCTAGGTTTTCTAGTTAAAACCTTTTTGGGTGCAACATCTTTGGAGCACATTTGAACAAACTAAGCTCGCTCCTGATTTGCAATAGATTCAATAGAGCGCGCAAGCCCTCTGCATGCAAGCACGTGGGAAGCATGCGCAGCAACAGGAAACACCTTTTTGACACCTGAACTCGCGTTCAGGGGCGCGTGAGCACGTTCAGCGTTCTGACCCCAGCGTGCGTGCAAAAGCGCGTTCTAGACTCAGCCTCAGCGGAGGTGGTGCCGGCCCCTCCAAAACCAGCGTTTTTGTGCTCCAGCCATAGCAAATAAATCAAAGATGCTCAATTTTGCCATCCAGCGGACCCAAAGCAGCAAAATCCTCTGGCTTTGATTCTTTTCCAATAGAGCATTCAGACTTTGGTCAGACCCACCCGTCCAAAACCAACGTTTTAAGTGCTCCAGCCATAGCAAATAAATCAAAGGTGTGTGTGTGTGTGGGCGGAGTCTAGACCTCGTGCGTTTAGCAGCGTTTTCCGAACACGCGTTCCCAGTGCGTTCGCACGGGGGGTCACTCAGGGAAGCACAGTTACTCAGGGAAGCACAGTTTTTGCAAAATCCAAAATATCGAGCATTGTGCGGAGGTGCCAGATCCACTTTTTGTTTGAATTTTTGAGTGCTAACTCGTGGGAATCCAAAATTCAATATCCCCAGTATCCCAAATTGGTTCTTTCATCTCCGCAAAAAATCTTTCATTTTGGGATTTGGCGAGTTTACAGGAACCGTGCCCGCTGCTAGAGTTGTGCTTCTTTGCGGTTGGAGACAATTGAAACTCAAGCTATTTGGGAGGAAGGGGTTGCCATGCAGTTGGATGTTTTGCCACGCATGTCGAAATCAGAGACGTTCCTCCAAAACGAAACATAAACGAGGGCACATGGGTGGAGCACTATATATAGATTCAGACATAGATATAGATGTAGATATTTATACATAGATATAGATATAGATGCTGACGCCCCCCCCCCATGATGCACCCGAACCTGCTTCTTGCAAACAGTGGATCATGGGAGGCGGGCAACCTCAGATGCGAAAACATCGCCAGGCTCCCTTTTCCCCAAAGTTGGCAAAGCTGGAAGTGCGAACACATCGCCAGGCTCCAATTTCCCCAAAATTCCCAAACTCTGAGCAATTACGGCCCAGCACGCCTTATTGGTGCCAGGATTTTGGGAATTTTGGTGAAATTGGAGCCTGGCGATGTTTTGGGACTTGCAGCTTCACAAACTTTGGGGAAATTCGAGCCTGGCGGTGTTTTGGCAACTTTGGATACGAAAACACCGCCTGGCTCGAATTTCCCCCAAATTCATAGTAGAGCGCTCTGATGGCCCCCCATGGATGCCAGGATTTTGGGAATTTTGGGGAAATCGGAGCCTGGCGAGGTTTTCGCATTTCAGCCTGTGCAGATTTTGGGGAAATTGGAGCCTGGCGATGTTTTGGCAACCTCGGTAAACACTGCCAGGCTCGAATCTCCAAGATTCCTGAAACCTGAAATGCAAAAGTAATAGAAGAACAGCCGTACCATGTACTCATACATGAGCCTGCAATAGCTTC